AATTGTCATAGGAAATGTCATGAGGAATGAGAAAGCCTCAATTTTATGGATTCTAAGCTTCATAAAACCTAGACATAAGCATAAGAAGTAACATATTTCCAATTAAAAACAAGCACAAAGGGAAATATTTAGGAAAGTCATGATCACCACGATCCAAAAATAATAGAGGCGCGAGCCTCATTAATCTTTAAGAAAGTTTTGATAATTTTCCTTCTTTTTTATTTCTATTTCTTGTGATTTATTTTACTTTTATTAGGATTTTAGAATTTAAAATCTCTATGTTAATACCAAGCTAGGTTCATCAGATCTGTAAACTAGAGATTTTTCTGCTTAAAAAATTGTTAAGCTTTTCCTCATGAGATCACATTCACTCACTAACACACCCTTTTAGATTTCTAGCCCTAACATGCTCAATATGAAACAATTAATGCTTCGATTGAGGAAATCTTGATGAGCATCAACCATCTCTCTATAAAGGCCAACACCATTGAGTTGAGACCTGTCATAATCTAAATGGTATAAAATAGTTCACTTAGCCTACTTCCTTGAATTATACACCACATTTTAATAAAACGAAACCCCTAATGATGTCATTAGACTTAGTCATTTCCCTTTCTCTTTGAGGGACAAAGTTAAGGTGTCGCTTAACTCTCTTTCCATAGAATCAATCACAACCTCGAATTACCTAGCCCAAAATTTTCTAGAAAAATATGTTCCTCCATTAAAGACGGTTAAAATTAGGAACACCATTATCTTGTTCACCCAAATTTATGGAGATTCCATTTATGAGGCATGAGGGAGATTCAAGGACCTACTTATGAGGTGCCCACTCTATACCTTATCTGATTGGCTAATCATTTAAATCTTTTATAATGGATTGGTAAGTTCCCTGAGGTCCATAGTAGATGTTGCTACGGGAAGTTCATTAATGTCCAAACCATTTTAGGATGCTTACTAATTGATTAAAGAAATGACCACAAACAATTTTCAATGACCTTCTAAGAGAGTCGCACACTAAAGAGTAGCTGGCGTGCATGAATATAATGTATTATATATCCTTGCTACCCAAGTTCTTGCTATTTATAAGAAGTCAGATAATTTGGGGATGAATCCTATGCAAAGACTTCCATCTAATGTTGGATTGATTTATGGACCAGTGGTACATCAGAGCATGCAACTTTGGAGTCTGTTAATGCTGTAAGAAAACATTGCCTTAACCCTTATTAAAATACATACAATCCAGGTTGAGAAAATCACCAAAATCTTCAATCTAATAATACCCCCTCAACAATGGAGAAACTCTCAAACCAACTCTATAAGTCATGGGAATAACCAAGGGGCCAACTCTCAAAAACAACCTTACCCACTAGGTTTCCAAGCCAACGCTCAGCCCGTGAAAATATAAAAAGGGAACCAATAACATAGCCATGTTGTATCTATTAAGAAAATTGAACATCAATTAGGACAGCTGAAAAATGCTACAAATAATAGATCTGCAGGTACAGTCCCAGGTAACACTGAAGTAAAATCCTAAAGAAAAAAAGAATTGAACAAGTACATACTATGAGGTTGAGAAGTGGAAAAGAGTTGGAAGAAACCTCGCGGGGAGAAGATCGAGTAGAATTAGACCCTACCCAAGGATGTGTACCAGAGACTCGGGAGATGGAGGTAGAGAGACCTGTCTCACCCATTAAGATTGACCCTGAGGAAAGATTGCCACTACCTTTTCCCTAAAGATTGAGAAAACAGAAAGTTGATCAACAATTCTCCAAATTCCTAAAAGTGTTCAAGCAAATAACTATTAACATACCTTCTACTGAAGCACCAGAATAAATGCCTAGCTATGCCAACTTCATGAAGGATATCTTTGCTAGTAAAAGAAGATTAGGGCAATTTGAGACTATACCCTTGACGAAGGAATTTAGTGTTATTTTGCAGAAGAAGCTACGTCAAAAGATGAAGGACCTTGGGAGCTTTACCATCCCATGTGTCATAGGAGAGAAGTTCATAGGAAGAGCCCTTTGTGACTTAAGAGCTAGTATCAACCTGATGTCATTGTTCATTTTCAAAATACTTGAGCTAGAAAAGGCCCAAGCAACCAATTTGACCTTTTAGTTAGCAGACCAATCCTTAGCTTATTCAATGGCTAAATTAATAAATGTACAATCACGGGAACATAAATAAAGATGGAAAAATTATTTTTTTTATTTTTATGTTTTTTTGAAAAATAAGAAAACAAAATTATAGTAACAACACAAATAAGCAGGAAAGCAGAATACAATTCAAACTAAGCTCAAGTGTTTCAACTAAAATTATCCATAAAATTTTGCCTCTTAACTGTGAAAATGGTGCTAATAACTTAAGGTCCAAAATCTACTATGAGACAGGTTTATCAAACACACAAGTATATTTGTCGTTCTAGTAATACACAGATAAAAAGTCTGTGTACCAATCTCATGATGATAATTGTTTAAATCTTTCTAATAGGGTAAGTTCTAGTTTATTAAATTGTTGATTCTTATTTTAAGTGATCAAGTGACATGAATAAAAATTCTAACAGTCCTAAAATTGCAGTAAAGCTAAAATAATAGAAGAAAAAAGACAGGTAACAACTTTGAATCTTTTTTAGGTATTGAGGTCCAACATCCAGTGACACTATACAGTGTTCTCTCTACATTTTTTGTATGAGTTTTCCTATGTGATATTTGAATATCATATTTCAATTAAGAGGGACATAACCATGCAATGTTTCCCAAAATTCCTTGGATCACATATCTAGAATACAATTTCCTAATTATAATATGTTTATTAAATTAGGTTATCATGCATTCACCTACTTATTTTTCTAGGCGACGACTAGAAGTCCTAACTCACAAGAAATTTTAATAATTTATCATGTCTGAATCAAAGTAAATTAAGAACTAAAAATTAACATATCAACATAAGAAATTCAAAGGCCCAAAAAATGGTTACAAGAAAAATTATGGTAAAAACGTGAGAAAAACTACCCTCATATCATGGGAGCATGAAAACAAGTTTATCTTTGAGACATGAGATAGAGAAATAGTGAAGGTTTCATTACAAATATTGAAGAAACAAGTTTAAAAAAGCACAAACTTAAAAGCAAGCCAAGTTCTCTTTGCATAAACCAGGTCATTGTCATACACTGAGAAACTTTCCTTAATCTCCCTCATTATACAGCACTCAATATCTCGCTCTCATACTAAAGCTCTCAAAACTCAAAGCCAAAAGCACCCTAAAAGTCCACTACCTTAATGAAGAAGGAAAGGAAGAGTATGAAGTGGAACCCTAATTCTTGCCGTGAAAATCCTCTACAAATTTACACACCTTCCCTAAGGCGTCCCAAGGCATTTCTTTATATATCAATTTCCGAATTCACCATGCACAAAATTGAAAAATCAAGACTTCGACTGGTTTCATTGTAGGCATAGTTATGTCAGTGTCCATAACTACTCCACAAACTGGCATAGCTACGCTTTACTCTAGTGTAATTATGCCAAACACCCAAAAAGACTAGTGTAACTATGTTAGAAAGTGACATAATTATGCGAGTCCAACATTTTTGCCTCATTTGTTTTTTTCACTCCTCATTGTGTTGCTAACCCTTATAACATGCAAAATATTACCAAGAAACTTTCCAGAAGTGTAAAATAATAATAATAGGAAATAAAATATGGTATTTAAAATATTAAAATCACATAAATCTATATTGTATTGATAGTGACATGCTTTGATCTCGAAAAATATGTATTTTACTGAGAAGGTGGATGTTGTGTTGGTTAATAACAAGTGTTAGCCAATATATAATAATGTTTAAGAATGTCAAACAGTGAGGGATGACATTAAAGGTGCTGTAAAAATCATTAAAAACATGAAATAATAATAATTAAAAGATGGAAAATATGTATATTAGCATTAATTGGCTGAAAATGACTATGCAATGACATATGAGCAATGATGGTTGCTAGAATCTACCAATGGTGAGCAATAAGGATTGTTCATGTCATTTGATGGTGATTGTTGGCATCAATCAATGAAAATCGTTGGCAATTATAGATGATGTTCATCAATTTTAGCTCACAAATACCTTAAATATCAACATCTAAAATCAAGTGCTAGAGAATGGTTGGCATGACCTTCATTCTAACCAGAGAGAGTATCAAGTCAAAAAAAAATGACAAAGAAGTCTAGATAAAGGACGTTGTTGGTTCTCCAAACAATTATCAAAATTTAGCAATTCAATCCATGAAAAGTCATCCTTAAGTGTGTTGGAAGAAGGCTTATTTATATTTTTTTTAGAAGACACTCCTATCATTTATACTAAAATCAAGATACTGCATAAAGTAGTACAAAAGAATCACCTTTTATCATGACATCTCAATGCCTCAATGAACTCAAAGTTGAGTAATTATCAACTTGTAACGAATGCATTACAAGTACACAAAAATTAGTGGCCATTTGATATTCTAAAAGCATATAGAGGTTTCTAGTTGTGCTTATGATTTCTTGACTTAGTCCATTTGAACTCAAGTTCAATCTCTGTCAAAATTGTTGGATTGGTGTAATTCAAATTGCATTTTATTTTGCTACATGTTTATCGAATTTGAAAGTTGAATAATCTCAAGGCCAATTGCTAAAAATTTTAACCCTTATTTATAAGTGTTTTAAGGTTTGAAAATTACACTTAAGAATTACATTTGACCAGATGAATCCTCTGATTATGTATTCCAGAAAAACAACTAGCCAGTATTCTAACCAGTGGATCTAAAATCATATATTACATTATGATTCTTGATAAAACATAAAGCGCAAGCTACTTCAATTGTAATAAGACAAGTCATTATATTTATGTTAGGAAAAAAATAGTTTCTACATTGTAGGACGCTTATGCTTCAAAAAACCTTCACAAAGGACTTTTTCTCTCAACCCCCTTTATCATAACCCTGAATCATAATTCTCAAATATAGTTAATTAATTACCTCAGTGGCCTTACAAAACTCCTCATCAGACCAGCTGTTCTCATCCATCACAATACCTTGTGGCCAATTTGGATTACTTGCTACAGCATAAAGGGATGAAAAAACCACAACTCTTTTCACATTTGTCTTCGAGCATGCTTTGAGAACATTTTTTGTACCCACAACAGCAAATCTTATTAGTTCCACCTAAAGAAAGATTCCTTATCAGAGAAACTGTGCAATTTGGGCTACAAATAGGCTTAAGGAATATTATCAACAAAACATAAATTAAACACTTAATACCTCTGGATTTGTAATTCCGCTTAATATAACAAGACTAGCAACGTGGAAGACTCCTTCACAACTAGACATGGCTGCCACAATAGCATCATAGTCAAGCAAATCTGCCTTAAAGAGTCGCAGATTCTCTGTTGCCTTATCCAATCTCTTCAAATGGGTGTTCTTTTCATTGCCTTATATATATCAAAGCTCAATAAGCCTTCCAATTTGATCAAAATAATACTTAATGTTGGAAAAAGAATAAAGGTATTTAACTTTTAAATTTAAGGGCTCAAAATATAATCATTAAAAAAAGAGATATGGACTCCCTGACCACAAGTAAGATTTAGAAAATCCTATATATTCAGATTCAACAAGTCCTGGAAGGATAAAAAGTTGGAAACTATTTAACATGGTTATTACTAAAATTTATGATTTATCAGACAAAAGATTCTCAATATGTTAAATCATGTAATAATAAGTTTTGAATTTAATTAATATGAGAACTAGCTAAAACTGAATCAAATTTAACATCTTTAAAATTCTATTTGGCTTGATTTAAGCAAAATAATGCGTAAATCATGCCTAAAAGTAGCCACTGAATGTAAGCTAAATATTGCTTAAATCCTGCAAAAAAAGTCACTTCAAATGGGAAAGTTATCTTAAGATGTTGAGATGCATAAGAAAAACAATATTAGGAGTGCAACAGCTTTTGCATGTCATGAATTAGAAACAAGCAAAGAAAAATAGAGTGATTTTCAAAATAGAGATAAGGAAAAAAGATAGGTAGTAGTACTCGGATCTCTGAGGGTGCCATGGACCACGTAGCCCTTGGAGAGGAGAAGCTTCACAAGCCAGGAAGCAATGAAACCTCCAGCTCCAGTGACACAAACTCTCTTAGTCTCACTCTTATGCTCCTCCATCTTTAGTTCTCCCTCCTTTCCCTCTCCCTCTCCCTCTCCTCTCTTAATTTCGGTGGAAATACTCATATATATATATATATATATATATATATATATCAAAATAAATAAATGTAAATGATTTTACATTCTCGTGTTAAGTATGCTATGAAATATCTCTTATTTCATTTATTTTATTTTCCAAATATTGTATTTTCTCTCATGATTTAACCTATCCTTATTATTCCAAGAGAAATGCTCAAATGATTAGATTTTCTCTGTTTTTTTCGAATTAAATATTTTTTTCTTTCTACACATCTTTACAAATGTTCTATTAAATTATTATAACATGCCCATTTTTTTCCTTTATGTTAGAAATATATTGAACAAACCATTCCCCGTAGAATTTTTATTTAAAAATGAATTTAATATAAAAATAAAATAAAATAAAGCTTCAATAATTTTTTGAATTCATAAAAACTAAAATGACTACATTTTGGGGGCGTTTTGTAGTACACTATTTGAATAATCTGTTGATAAACCAATCAAAAATAATCTGCTGATAAACTAGATGTGGTGGTTATTACAAATTTTTATTTTTTGAAACAGCCAGAGATAGGTGCAGTGTGAAAACGTTGTTTTCAGCTCTTTCAAAATGCATAAGATGTCAAAACGCAATTTACCTAAACATACCAATTGCATTTTCAAAACGCCACCACACCAAATAAGCTGCCCTAAATGGACCCTTAACATAAATTCAGCCAAACACTACAAATTGATTAGATAAATTAGCCGTGAAGTTAAATTTAATTTTTATTTGTTCTATTTATTAAATTCAAATTTATTAAATCCTGTTATTTGTTCCATTTTGCTCAAGAAAAAAATATTCATGAATTTTGAATTTTGTATCCATTTATTTTAATAATAATATTTAGATAATATTTAGATTTAATAATAACATCAAATAATTGAATCAAATAATATTTTGAATT